TCCGGAGTCCCCAGCAGGAAGTGGTTAATGAGGGTTTCCATAGAGTTGGAATCAGCATTGCTTCCTTCCACTTCTAACATAAACGTAAAAGTTACCTTAACCCAAAGAAAGTGATACATGAGCCATTTCCGATATTTAATGACATAAAGTTACATTTGCTCTTTGTTGTGCCTTTTGCCTACCATTTCCTATCATAAAAACAAAAACCCAGCTTTGTGTGCTTAGCTGGGGCCAGAGAATGGGTCTTAGTCAACCTGCTATTCCTCTGGAAATCCTGTCTCTATTTGCCTCATGAGGATATGATATCATGTTTGCCTACATATGAGTATATAATTATCCCATAGTTTTACAGGTTATGCATTGTTGTTTCCATGGTGTCTCAGAGGCTGCTTTTGTTATTTTTAAATGTAGTCACAACAAATGCAGAAAAGGTTTACTTGAGCCTATCCCAGTGATACAAACTTACCCTCAGAGGATGTGTTAATGCATAACCTCTATTCTACTCTGCAGGTAGGCCTGCAAGTATACTTTTTATAATTGCCTGTTACTAATGCTTTCAATGAATCAAGTAGCTAATTTTTCTTCTTTTTTTTTTCTTGCAATTTTTTCATGTAAAGTTTGATTAATTAAAAATAAGAAGCAAGTGGTCTGTTTGGAAATTGTCAAAGGGGACTTGTTTTTTGAAAAAGTTCCATATATAACATGCTTAATAAAGTGACTATTGATCCCTCAAATATAAAAACAACCTAATTATTGAAACATTAATAGATGAATTGAGTAAACAAGTACTTGGTACTTGCATGCCTAGCCTGGGAGTTATGGTCTCTACTTAAACTGCTGTTATCAGAAAGGAATTTCTGTAAGATAAATTATGAAGTCTTGTAAATATTATGTTATACATGCACATGTACAGACTTTTCTACATTTCATTGTCATGTATTGCTGACTTCAACCACGATTTCAGATGTAGGTTTTAAATACAAATCACAGAATAATTTAATTTCTTGAATATTTCCAAATGTTCTTATCGTTTGTTAGAAACAGGTTTACCTTTTCATTGCATGGGGCCAGGCTGTCTCAGTGGGAAGGTGTTGTGTTTCTGACGATGTCTTACATTTCATCAAGCATAGTAACTTTTCATAGATCTCTGCCACCTTGTTTTATCTTCTGAGTCCATGGTAACGTGTCAGAGCTTGATATTGCTTTAAACAAAAAGAAGTTACCTATTTTCCTTCCATGAAGCTATTTCAGATGCGTGCTTACTTAATGAGCCCGAGTAAGACCAACAGAGGGTGCAATTTTCCTTGCAATGGAGGCTACTGGTCAAAACTGCCCTTCATGCATCTGTTATGGTGTTGCAGCTACCAACAAAATGAATACTCGCCACCAACATGGCTCTTTTCAACTAGTTAGGGGGTGCTTCTGCTCGAGGCGGAGAGTTATCAGAGAGGTTGCATGAGAAATTGGGCTGAAAGTGCTTGATGGTTGTTGTTGCAATTGTTAAAATGCTGTCTGTCTTCTCAAAGGGTAATTTCTTATTATTAATCACAGTTTATTGATTTCTAGTTTTGAATTTGACAATTTCTTTTTTTGGGGGGGAATGTTTTCTTGATTTGCCCCAATGATGACTTATTAGATTCAGCTTTTCACATTATACCTTGGAAAAATGCAAAATCATTTTCAGTTTTTTAGATCTTTCTGCAGATGCTGGTGTATATTGTCTCATATAGTTATTTTCTTTGTAGCATGGGGGAAAAAATGGACCCCTAAATTTGTGTGACTTTACAGATTTTCTTTTATATTTGAGAAACCGGAAGGCCTTTTGTTTTGCTACAAAATAAACAAGAAATGTAAATAAGTAAGGACTTCATTATGATATGAATAAATCAAATTCAAAACAGTTTGAATGTTTCAGAGTTGATTTTTCTTTGTTCGAGTTTTTCCCATAAGCAGAGCAGTAACATTAAGATCCAGCCAATGAGATCCCACAATGACAAAATAGTGTGAACTCCGTGCAGTGAAGACCCAATATAAATAGCAGACCGTCTGTCTCTGTTACACCTTACTTGGTTGAGGGCGCTGTTGAATAAAAAGCAATACAGAAATCATTATTGAGGGCGCTATTTGAGAGTCAATTGATAAGTTTTATTTGCTTGAGGGCGCTGTTTAAAAAGTTATTTTAAAAAACTTGCTTATAAAATGAGGGCGCTGTTTAAAGACTGTGCAGCGCACTTTTTAAATAGCGCCCTCAATAGTTTTTCTTTTGGCCAATGCGTTTCTGTAATAGCGCCCTCAAGAAAAAATACAAGATTGTGTCCGTATTTCTCAAATAGCGCCCCCTAAAAAGAAATAACGCCAAACGTTTCCGATTTTTTTTCAATAGCGCCCTCAAGAGAGTAAGCATTTGCAAAGAATTCTTCATGTTCACTCACAGTTGCTAGGTGAATTAAGTGGAGAAAAGACCGTTTTTTTTTAACAAAAGACCAGTCAGTCTATTGGGTAGACACAAAACTACATTAGGATTATCGAATTCAGATAATGTAAAGGTAAGTCTGAATGGCAATATATGTGTATGGAATTTCGGTTTATCTTCTTTGTTTTTGTTGGGCGCGATTTGGTCCTTATGAAGGTGTTATGTGTCGGTTGATAATTAGGCCTACCCTAAACCCGGAAACAGGGCCCAATGTATAGCCTCCTCCTTCGTCAAGGCGAGTTTTCTGCAATTAGCAACCTAGGGGATAGGTTACCCCGTAAGTACTAGTAGTGAACATAGAAGTGCAATTTCGGCTCATAAAATCCTGCGGATGTCTGATTATGCCCCCGGACATCCAGAGTACCTAGGCCTAAACTTTGTTCAAAAGAAATCACTATCATTACGTCGGTCCCTGTTTATGGGTCTAGGCCTACCCAACCCCCAGAACTGCCACACTCATGGGAGCACAGACTTGGGTGACAAACCCCGCAGTTCTCTTGTTTCTGGGGGTAGGCCTAGGTCTAGTCGATACTGACATAGCCTAGACCACGTATGTACCGGCACAGTACTACTAGTGCCAGTGGTACTGAAAATGAATGAATCTGGCAATAGGTTTTTGATAAATAGGGTTTTTTGGGGGGAGGAAGGACAGAGCTTGACGGAAAAGCCTCCATCTTGTGTCTATATCATAACACTACAAATTAAGTATTCCTCCCTTAGTGCATCATCTCTTGTGCATCATTACAGATAAGCTTTGTGACAGACTAACTTCTTCAATCACCATGAAGACAGCTCTGCTTCCAGAGACCTGTGACTAACCAAGCATCAAGCCAGAAAATAAAAAAGTTTTATATTTTAAGGTAATATCTTTGTTTGTTATTGGAACTGAGCAAAATAACTCTTGGAATTTATAAACATCATTTTTTGCATTATGCAGGTGAAAAGATCTAAAGAATGCATGTCAGCGATAAAACCAGAGAGAGGTTTTGGCCAAAATGACTTCAGAAAAGTTCCACACTTCATAAGATCATAAGATTCATAAGATCATCGATCATATTCACCAGGATGTTTTTAATGGATATTTTATTTACAGCAAACGTTTGGAGGTTTCAAAATAACCGTAACCATTTAAATTTCTTTTTATTTTTGAAAATAAAATTCCACTGTAAAACACCAATCAAAAGAAGTTCTGCAGTCATCCCCATTTTGGGCAAATTTCATTACCCCAACCTCCATACTGAAAAAAAGGAAGTTTAATGCAATTCATTTTGCTCGAGAGAAGACATTTAAGACTTTTCCTTTTTTTATGAAACTTTTTCCTAAGTTATAAGATTTTCATTTTGCATAGTTTTAACATTCCTCAACATCATTTTGGATAAAAGTCCACTTATTGTAACGATCATTTCATTTCTGTTATGAGGATATTTACTGCCTAAGCTATACATCTAAAATTCTGTACAAGCAATAAATGTCTTTCTTTTGTTTTTGAGCAATGTAAGATGTTTATTATCTTGCCAGGTATAGATTAATGACTGAACTGAAATCGTGAACCATTTGATGAAAATCATCCCCACAAATTGAACTTTCATGTGAATCATACTCACTGAATTTGATACATGTAGTTTGAGGAAAATTTCCCTCACTTGGATGGCTCAGTTTTTTGGACTTCCCACCTTATAAAGGAGAAACACGTTCTTTGAGAAGGCAGTCAACTAAAGATGTGATTTTGTCCGATTTCAGAGATCCCGGCCATGCATATAAAGTATACATGTCCGGTACCGGAAACCCAGGCGGTAACTGGTTAAGTTCATGAAAAACAAAATGTGCTGTTTCATCACAAGGAGTGATCAGGAGATCTCATAAAATACCTTTTGAGTAAATTCCGTGCTAAAAATGATTCAAATAAAACACAAAATCTTATAAACAACTTGGCTATTTATTCCAAAAATGTGTTTGATAGGGGCAATAACTGCACATGAACACTTTGGGTGCACATCCTAATAAAAGCAACTGCGAAAGCATTAAATTTGGTATTGTCAGATCATACCAAGCACCAACGATGGCATGAATATTCACCTTCCTATACTGCAGTACACAACGTTTTCAGGATGCAAATTACGAGTAAAAAATTGCAGCAATGATCATGGGGTACAATGGGGTTTTATGGTTGTGAAATTTATGTATGTGGTGTGTAGCAAGCATTCACTGCGCTCTGGCTATGGACATACCGGGCATGCCAGAAAGTGGTAATTGGCCAGATGTTACAGCCTGGGCAGTTCAAATTCTGTTTGTGTCCTTCCTCCATGCATCCATATTGATACTTTTATTTTATTTGCACAGGACTGTGGCCGACTGTCACCATTTGATGTCACAACAAAGAAATAAACAGTTCTATCACCAATCAGAGGTCACATGACAAAGTGAAAGGTATTTCTCTATTTGTTTCTGTTCTCAAATTCACAATAATAGCCAGTAGTCACTTTGGTAAAAATTATGGCAAGATGTTATACATGAAGCATTTTTGAAACTTTACATTGAGGATGCTCAACAAACTGGCAATGATGAAACAAAGTCGAGTTTCAAAGTATATTTGGAAGATCAAAGAACATCACCTGAAAAAGTTCTCTTTCTCAACATAATGGCATTGAGTTGAGCCCCAAAATTATAACATTTTACTCAATTTTTCATAATCAACAAAAGAAATTCTTGACCCTCCATAAAATACAGGTATTACTGGAATTCAAGGAGAGGATTTAACGTCTCATAAAGGACACATTTATGGTGTACTATTTACGACAAACATGTCTCTCTCTCTAGCCTCCCTCCAGGTGACGCAACCAGATGACACGACGGCACAACGGCTCCCTTGCGTTGTGCCATCGGGTCGAATCGTCACCTTCTTACCATTTCGTTTGTACACACACGTCGCGGCGCATCGTGCCGGCGCCCGTTGCGTCATGCTGTCTTAGGTCCTTTCCTTGTTGCATTTTTTTCTGCCTAAACATCGGCCCTTCCGTTGCCCGTCGCATTGTGCTGTTGTGTCGTGCGTCGTGTCATGCATCGCATCGCCTGATGCGCGACGCGACGCACAACGCGACATGTGCTGTCACCCTTTACTTTATGGTGTTTATAGAGGGCGCCTTGACTGTTTTTTCCATTTCCGTTCACCTTTCTTGCAAAGTACATGCAATTCGCTCTTTGGTGTTGATTTTTCATTGTTTTTATCTCATTGATTCATTAATTGGGATTAACTTCTGTCATATTTTATTGAAAAAATGATAAAAGAGCAAAAGAAAAACCGAATATGTAGGAACTGCTCTCTCAAAATAAGTGGAAACCACAAGCTCAGAATTTGTCATTCCTTAATTTCCCAGCCAATGGTTTATTTTGTTTTCTCTCATTTCCGTCCATCGCGCTTGCAAAATACATGACCCGAGCCGCAGGCATTGATTTTTTTGGGAAGGGGGATTGTTTCGTCCATTCATCAAATTTAATTAGTATTTGTCATATTTAATTGAAAAAAAATGAAAACGAGCAAAAAGAAAATTTGCCTATGTAAGTGCTCTCATATAATAAGTGTAAGCCCAGAATTCGTCACTTTTTTATTTACCCGGCTGTTCCCTTGTTCGAATGTCTGTCCAATTTCTTTTTAAGACCGTTGATGAAGATCCCATTTGTAGTAGATTTGTAACCTTATAAATATTTCTCTGTGGTCCATGCTGGCAGTTTCCAAGTAGTTCTCCCACTCCTTCAGACAATTTGTCTACAATTGTACCACTGCAAGTTTGACCACGGGTTTAGGTAGTTACCATCCAGCCTGCTCTATATTATTACCCTCAGAATATTCAGTCTTCCTTCAGTTTAGTCTTCCTTGTTAACTTCATCAGCACCACACTTTCAATGATATTAGTCTGCCGGCGTGTTTCTTAATAAAACATTGTAGATCCTACTACCATTGTGACGGTGTCTTTTCTTCCTCTCTGTTTGGCCTCGCGCTTAATTTCTCATCAGATCCGCATGTTACATTTTTGCAAGCACGTTATAATGATTGCTGTATTGTATCTTATATTAGAAAAATCAGAATTAGATCAGGAAAAGCTAAAACATTGTTGTGGCTTACGTTATATATAATGTTATATATTTCCTGAAGACAATGCTGATTAGTCGCCAAGCTCTTTCTGATTACATTTGATTTAAAAAAAGGGAAAAGAGTTTTTTTTTTCAACAACTCACTCTTAATGAAAACACAAAGTTAGAAAGAATCCACGAAAAAGAACAACAGAATCAAGGCCTGGTACCTATGGCATGTACTGTGCAAGCACGGGCCGGGGGAAGGAAATGAAAGAAAACAGTAAAAGTGGCCTCTATAAACACCATGAAGCAAAAGGCAACAGCACGCATCGCATCGTGCTTCGGGCAACACGATGAACGACACTACATACGACACGACGGACGACGTTTAGGCAGAAAAAATGCAACAAGGAAAGGACCTAAGACAGCACGACACGACGCACGACACGATGTGTCGTGTGTGTACAAACGAAATGGTAAGAAGGCGACAGTTCAACCCGACGGCACAGCGCAAGGGAGTCATCGTGCCGTCGCGTCGTCTGGTTGCGTCGCCTGGAGGGAGGCAAGAGAGAGAGAAATGTTTGTCGTAAATAGTACACCATACACATTCAACAAACCGAGATTTTTCACACACTGTACAAGTTTTTAATCAATGTCATTTCTTTATGGCATTTTGTGCCTCTATTTTAATCTTAAATTTCACATACTAATTTTGCAATTTATTGAATGCAACAATCACTTAGAAATCCACATTCAAAGTGCTGTCAAAATGTGTTATCTTATAATGTTTTTTGCTAGTTCTTTATCCTTGTTGGCTAAAACACGGTCATATGTGGTTGACTAATATAGGTTAGTACATGTACATGAACTTTGTGTCAGCATTAACTGGACCCGCACCAAGACTTCTTGCATGTATGAATTCCAGAAACGAGTGCCCTGGTGGTAAAACTCGGAAGTATTGACTGGTTACAGCGCCCTCACATGACAAGAACAGTGAACAGCAACACAAAAACTGAATCTAGGGAAGAACCAAAAGCATTCCCTTGACTTACACTGAATTGCTGGTTTAACAGCTTACAAGTTGTATGGTTGAATTAAAACAGTTCAGTCATAAAATCCTGAAACGTTTCATTTCTTAGTACACATTGTAAACAGAGGTGTGTCTTAAAACACATACGGACTGGCCACTCATGCACGTCTATGTGCCCTGGGGGCCTGTGAGTAACTAGAAGGGGGGTTCTATGTAGGTATTCATCTTGGCCTTCAGCTGAGGAAAATAAAACCCTCTCCTGGTCACTCATAGTCCCTGTAGGCACATAGACAATACTAATAACCAAATTATGCCAGTCCATACGTGTAGGTATATATTTTAGATTTCAATGAAAGCCTTACTGAGCTGGCATGTACAATTCCAACAAGTTCTAAAATCGCTAACTGGAAGCGCTACAGACATCCCACTGTAGACATTAAAAGCAGAATCTATTCAACAGAGGTCATACTTCAGTTCTCTAGTGGACATGTTGATGATAAATAACAGTTTGAGATTTGAGGTATATGTTGATAGTTTTAGTTTGTTGTAAATTGCTGTAGAAGGCTGTCCATAGTGAACATAATCATTTGGTTTTCCTTCATCAGGTAGTGGTGTCAGTCAGTCCATGTCACTGAAGACTCATCCATCCTAGAGGCATGTCACAAACAGCTTCATATGTCGTTGAAGGCAGGAGTTGATCACACAGATGTCCAGAGGAGTTAGGAATGAACTCAACTTGGACCCACTGTGGAAGGAGAAGAATAGAACATTTTTCTCATTAATTAAGAACTGAAATTTCTTAACACCAACTTTGATTTGATAAAGAACTGTGAATGCTTATTATACATCATGTTTCTTGGATAGGTAAGATTACTTTATCTCATTGTAGGGACCAACACTGCTCCACTCTTGTCAAAATTGCAGCACCCCTATTTTTCATTTTGGAATGGTCGCACTACTCAGTCATGAACCTGCACGAGTCATGACCCAAGTGTGGTCATTCTTGAATAAGACCACACTGAGAGGACATCAACATCATCTCTGTCCATTGCAGGTATGCTGGAGATTGTTCATTTTATTCTGATACATTTTCATTCGCACGAGTTTGGATTTCTTATATATCATTGAACTAGAGTGGGATCAAATGGAATTATTAGTCACTGGAAAAGCTTCCGATCTAGAAAGATGAATTGTTTTCAGATTTAGTTTGATGGTTGTGATTGAGAATATTTCTGAGAAGTGAAGTTAGGAGCAGAGTAACAAGTGATACATGTGTATTATTGTTTTTATTAAGCCAAGTATTTCTTTTATTAGTTTATTACTTAGTAGATATCATGTTAATCATGAGTCCAACTTTATTTAGCTTTCCACTCTTTAAGCGCCTTTAATGAATTGTGCACAGGATGACTTGTCTGAAGTATTGAACTTGACCTTTCAAAGTTTGGAATAAGTTTAGTACCGTTTCAGACTTAGTGCTATTCTGTTAATACTTCAGGGCTGAGTTGCTATGTTCAAAGTTCTTGCTTCATCTGAATGGGAAATAGGACAGCAGTCCATGAAGTGAATGTAATTGACAGTTGTTAATTGGTCTGATTGGGGAAAATGAATTTAATTTCATTTGTTCAATGTGTACGCCACAGATTGCATTCTTGCAGAATTTGTGTATAACATAAAACTCAGGTGGCAGTGGGACCATGGAGGAAGGAGGGGACCAAGGAGGTCCAGTATGTGTATACATGGAGACACTGTGTGAACACACAGTTATATAATGAGTTAGTGTTTCAGTTTGGGAGTTGGTTCACACAGCCCAGCCTACCACATGTGGAGCAGAGGGCCTAGTGGCCAAGGGTTGAATTATGAGGGCTTGACTGAGCTCTGTTTTAGTGTTCTTGGCTAAGTGCAGCAGAAACCAGTGGGGACAAGAACACCCTTTTTTCCTTGTGAATATTTAACGAAGCCCGGCTTTAAGAAGTTTTGGCATGGTTTTCATTCAGTCATAGAGCAAGAAACTTTGTAAACCTTACTCTGTTATTTTATAAAACCATAGAGAAAAGACAGAGATAAACTGTATTGATATTATATTACATGTCATGGCAAGTTGATTCTTGAATAAGACCACACCGAGAGGACATCAATATCATCTCTCTCCATTGCAGGTGTAACATCATACTTATTTAAAAGTTAGAGCTGATTTCTCATTAATGATTTATCAAACAGATTTAATATACGTGCAAAGTATACAAGGCATGATCTTTGTGAAAGAATGGCGTATCGCCCAGTGGTATGTGGTATGCTTATGTGAACACTGCTGTGGCTACCCATGAAAAGATGTGAGCGGCACACAGAGATCTTAATGACAACCAGTGTTACCTGTGTATGACATAACATATAGAATGGCAGTAATGTTTTTGACTTGTTAAATTGTTCCTCTGTGCTTGAGAGGTAAAGAGAGGGACATAAATCTTGTGTTTCCTTATTTTGTCTTGTCTAATCTTGCATCTGTTTTTGAAAGAATTATTCATCCTGACACTACATATTCTTTATGCACTATCTTTTGAAGGTCAGTTCCTGCAAAAAGGTTCAAAGATATTAGTCTGAGATGGAAAAGCATTCCCAACTTTGTATGAAATACTTTCAAAATGTTACCAGCTCTTTTAAGACAAAGGGCATCGGGATACAAGTTGAAAACATGAAAATGGCGACTGCAGTGTATAGCATGCAAATTAAGAGAAATGCCTGCAAAAAAATGCAAATTCACCCTACAATTGATGACACCAAGTAGAAATGATTACACGTATCTGTTGGAATTGACTAGGCAGGGCTTTTTAAGCACTGTGTAAAAGAACTTGATTCGGACCAGAGATGGACAAAATAAATCTCAATTTTAATTTCACTTAGTTGCTTGAGACTTTTGCAGCATACTGTTGAAACTGTTACACCCACCCACATTTCAAAGGCAAATTGTACGAGCACCTCTAGTGTATTACGCCTTACCTTCGTGATGTCCGAGCGTCAGAAACTGTCGAAAAACAACTGATTTTGGCAACCGTGGGAGCGCCTGACACTACAATACTACTCGTCATGGGACCGGTCCAGGAATGACTGGAATATGTAATCCAAGTAGTGAACCACGTGACAGGTAACGTGACCTAATAATGAGGATGAAGGGTGGGTGTGGCTCCTCAAGCAGGATCGGAAAGGAGTAAGGAGGGTACACACTATACAATTCCTTGGCGAGTAATAGGAGGAGACTATGATGCGAATACAAGACGTTTACAAGGTTTGGCTCTCATTGCACACACTAAACGGAATGGGTCAAACGGCTGCACGAAAGACCAATTCTTTTGTTGGATTCCCTTGTTCAGTCTTGCCCGAACAATAAAATGTTTCGAGGCTTACCGAGGATTAAACGCCGCTATCTTTCGTTACGCTTGAGTGAACAACAATGGGGAGAATTGAAGCAGAAAATATCCAAAAGCTCGCCTTTAAAAGCATTTTAGCCAACAAAATGATGCTTTTTACAGAGGAAATCACATAACAAACCGGGCTATAGTTTCAAAATTCGAAAATTCCCCCGGAATAAAAAGTTGGCTTTTTTTCGATGGTGGGTTCCACGCTGAAACTTTCCATCTCCGAACGTAGGTGGCGCTGTTTAATTAATCCGCTCCATAGCTCTATACGTATATTTTGTGGCTGTGTGATAGCTCGATGTGTGAATAAACACACCTGCCTCATGGGCGTAGCCAGGAGTTTTGGGGGAGGAACATTTCAGGAGAAAGGGGCAGGCAAAGCACTTAGTTTCGTTTGCTTTTAGCAACTTTATAAACTTTTAACTCATTCTCTCTCTTTTTTCCTCGTTTTGTAATTTTCCCCACTTTTTCGAACACGTACAATTATTGTATTGTGCATTATGGACAGAACCTAACAAGAAAATGAAAGAGCGCCACCTACGTTCAAAGGTCGAAAGTTTTAGCGTGGAACCCACCATCGAAAAAAAGCCAACTTTTTATTCCGGGGGAATTTTCGAATTTTGAAACTATAGTCCGGTTTGTTATGTGATTTCCTCTGTAAAAAGCATCATTTTGTTGGCTAAAATGCTTTTAAAGGCGAGCTTTTGGATATTTTCTGCTTCAATTCTCCCCATTGTTGTTCACTCAAGCGTAACGAAAGATAGCGGCGTTTAATCCTCGGTAAGCCTCGAAACATTTTATTGTTCGGGCAAGACTGAACAAGGGAATCCAACAAAAGAATTGGTCTTTCGTGCAGCCGTTTGGCCCATTCCGTTTTGTGTGTGCAATGAAAGTAAAATCTTACAAACGTCTTGTTTTTGCCCCTTAGTCTCCAAGTCCAAATGTACTGGTGCATTCCCTTCCCACTCCCAGACTTCTTGCCGGCCAAACCGTCTTCCTCCCTTTTTATTGTATCTCGTTACCTGTCACGTGGTCTCCTTGGGTGACATTGTGCATTCCGGTCATTTGTAGACCGGTCTATTGACGAAAAAAAGAAAAAAATCTAAATCAACCGTCAGTTTTGCTTCGGAACGAAACAGTCGTCTTATCTGTCTGTATTCATAGTTCAGTAGTTTTTAATGAATAAAATCCAACTTACGGTTCTCCTACAATTAACAAAAGCAGTGCATTTCTCGCATTGACACGAAATAGAAGTTTTGGCCTTAATTTTACTTTTCTCATGCCAAAAGTGCTAGTAGGTAGGACAATATAGCCTTTTGTGGGCGATTTGAAGTTTTGTTTAAAAGCCCACATATTAAGGATTGACATTACAACCACACTTAGAAATTACAGTCAGTTAAAGGGCGGGGAAAAAAACACACAAAACTGACAACACAGTACGTGAAACTTAAGCAAACTTTATTTTCATCACTTCTTCATGACCTCAAACAGAAGAAAAGAAAATCAAGCACTGGAAAAAAGTTTGTTTTACGGGCAGAAAACCGCATTCACCAAATGCAACCAAGTCTGATCCCTCTATAAATACTCAAAGTATGTCTGCTGATAAAACATAAATCAGAATAAACTCCAGAGTATATAGTTGTATTTCTTGACAATCATCGTGGTTTATGTGATACTGTGACCACAAGACAAAATGAACCTGGACTCTTCAGTGTAAAATACCAAATATATTTTACAAAATATGGAGTAACTAAAATTTTGTGAAAAATTTGAATGAATTTAGAATCTACACGTGAAAATCCCTCCTTCACACACATAACACAGTGAATCGTAAAATGTATGCAAAGACAAATCAAATTAAAAGACAACTGAAGAAAAACTTACAAAAAAATTGACTGTTACAAACGCAGGAAATAACACCAAAAATACAGAGTTCTGTCACACTGTCGACTATGAAGATCCAGAAAACAGTTCCATTGCAGACCTCTGACCAATTACACAAAGCTTTAAGCAGAAAATATAACTTGCCATATTTATGTACAAGGGAAAAAGAATAGAGAAGCAGTACAGCAATACACAATACATGTATTTGAACCTTATTAGTTAAGATTTGCCCAAAGGTTGACAAAGTGGCCGTTTGCATTTTTGTAGAGGTAATCTTCAAGCACTACCATGCAGTGAAGACAAAACATGTTTTTCAAATGTTGGAGACAGATTTGTTGATTCAAGTGAATCTGTTTTCTACACGCAGAAAAGCTACTTCTTGAAAACAAGAAACAAGCCCAACAATCCTATGCAAATCATGCATAACTTTGGGATTAAGACTGCATGCAGTGGTTCCCAGCTGACCCAGTTAAACACCAAGACCCAGCAACATTTTCTACTCTTAATATTATGTTATCTTTTTTGGAAGAAATTAAAAAGCAACATTTTAATAATGATGAATCAATGAATGATATTTTCAGTATCAACCAAAAAACAGCTGAAATTTTGAATATTTAGCGAGCTATGACCCAAATACCTTTAACAGTGAGCAGCTATACACAGTACATTATTGATACTTTGCAATTCCACAGTAGTGGAATAATAGTTTGATAGATTTTGACATGCACAAAAGACGTACAGTGTGGATGCAAAAGACGTACAGTGTGGATGCAAAAGATGCATAGTGTAAAAATTAATTTTATGGTAATGTATTCACACAACACCACTTTTGAAGTATGTCAACATGTGTCAAACTTGCCTTCCGTTACTATGGAACTGCCCTTTTGATAAAATATGGCCAAGAAATTTATGATACTGTTATTTACAGGCTTTATATAAAAATAAAGATATTATTCAGTTGGTTACATACAATCTACCTAAATTTGAGCTTATAATTGTCCAGGTCAACCAAAAGACATGTAACTTGGGTATTCTTCACGAGTTTTTCAACATCCCTTTTTCTTAAACCTTCTAAACTGATCTGTACACCCAAGCCTCATGACTGAGCAATCTAGATCAGTGTTATCAAATCTTTCCTTAATGACATTTTACTGTCAGATATTTTCTGAGAAGATTCTCTGATAACACATTTTGGGCTCCAACAAAAAATTATCAAATATAAAAAAAACAGCCAGACTTATTTATTTAGGATTTTTTCAAGCAACTAGGTTTTGCTATTTTGCTGCTAAATTTGATACTTCAAGCAGTCATTCCATTCAGCACCCTTTTGCTTAACCTTAAAATTGCTGACCCTATGGGTCACAAACACAAGTGCACCCTTGTGAAAAACAAATGGTGGGCAAGGCCAGCAGGAGAGTTACTGTTCAAACACAAATGAAGCCTAAACTGGTGACCTAGGGTTAGGCACATGCACTGTGCATTTGACAGTTGCCAAAACTTTTTTTTCTCATTTATGATTAGTGCTGCAAAACATTCAAATTGGCACATTTGAAAACTTTAACTCGAGGGTTAATATTCCTCTATTCTACACCGCTGACAAGATCTAATATTTACATTTTACAAAAGTGACCTCCATAAATACATGCCTATTTATACATCACCAATAGATTCAAATGGAAATTCTGAATCATCCTCATAGGATTCACCTTTCCATTTCAATACAAATGGAAAATGTAATAAAACACTTTCCAAAATGATGCATTTTCAAAATCTAAAAAAGGGATTTCTCCCTCTTCCATTCTAGATTTTAAAAAGCTATGTGATTTTACAAGCATGTAAAAAAATTATTTCAAAGTTCCTCAGATCTCCAAATATTAAACTTTGGCGTAAACCAACAAAAATCATTAGAATCACGCTGAACAGAGTGTCGGATTGTGGAGGACTTAAAAGCAACTGTAATAGTTACAGGTCATGGTCCTTCAGTCTGATCTGAAGTGAGTGTTACAACAGATTAATTGCACAATTGCCAGCTTCTCCACAAATGCAAATACATGAAATAGCATGCCCAAACTCACGACACTCAATACCTCAAAATATATTTTTAGCAAAGTGATGCTTCATATTTTGTATAAAATCAATTTAAAAATCCAAGTTTGGATTCTCACTTGCCCTGGCTTTTAAGTTTGAATCATAAGGACTGGATTTGCATTACCTCCTGTTAACAAACAAATGCTTTACTGTTAACACCATAATACAAAAGAAAGGCAATAAAATTGAGACAATTTCTAATAGCTGAAACTAGCAAATGTGAAGCACAATTTTAATCTACATACAGTTAGAGATTCTGACAAATATCAGGGTTGGGTTTCTCTAAGCTGTTAATAATTTCTTTTAGTGCCACGTATGTACCAAATCCAAAGCCTACAATGCCCAAAATAATGATTAAGATATTCCGGAAAAGCCGAAATACCTTACGGGGGTTGTCATAGCCATAATCGTAGAAAGTAAACTCCTGAAGAACAGGTGGAAAGATGATGGCAAGAGCAGTAGAACTGAAGGCACCAACAAAGGCAATGAAGAGAGCTAGATGAGGTACAACCATGGCCAGAACCACTGAAAGATTCAACAACAAATAAGCAACAAGTGTTAGCACAGGAATATCTTGATGTCACAACATATGTGGAAGTTTTCACAGACTCTCAATGACACTTTCATAATGGGATTAACAGGGATTAAATTTTGTTGATCTGAAGAAAAATTAGGTCTTTGTGACAATCAGGAGTATACCCAGCAAGAAATGAGACCGAGGGGTACCCCCCAACATGTCCAGTCCCTATACACATTCCAGACTATTGTTACTTAACACATCCCCCAAGATGTCTGAAAGGAATTCCCCAGATTCCTGCGAGATAATGACCAACACAAAGCAGGGGAGGTTCTCTCCGTCTCATACCTTGCTGCATATGCACCCGTTTTCGGTTACATAGGCTTTATATGTAAAACAAGGGAGCCTGGAACTGAGACATAAGAGTTGGGCCTTATAACAAAAGACCGTGCTCAGCACAAAAGACTGAGCTCCTGGGATTACCGACATTTTTTCGCTCTAAATAGTGGAAATAATCCAGCTTTGTTTTGAAACAGTATACAACGGTTTGAGGCATTTAGAGCAAGCGAAAATCTCCACCACCTCAGCGATGAGCCACACAGCACCGCTGCACGCTAATCTGGCCCATATTGAAAAGAGGTCAGCAGTGCACTGTGCTGGTTTTGGGAACAAAAGAATCTTACGTAACACCGCACCATCTGGGCTCTTTTTCCAAGGCTGCAGGCCTGGCTGAAATATTCAGGAGTCAATGAACTTTACCTGTCAGCTTTAGAGTAGTGCCCAAAGAGTCCTTCCTTTTTCGTATTAACGGCCATTAAATGAAATGATGAATTTTTGAAGAATTTTGAAAATGGAAAATCTGGAAAATGACACGGCATCTTGTCTTGTTCAAGAAAAATCCACCCGGCAGCAAGTGGTTAAGTGTTTGTGCACTGAATCTGCATAAGATGAACCCATCCATAAAGCAAAATAATGCAAAATTCATTTGGTATTCAAGTCAACAATGAAATGGTCTGAAAGCAATAAAGGGTGTTCTGGTGACCTTCACTCTCAAAATTAATTGTTTTTTAATCTTAAAAAAGACCAATTTAAAAGTAGTTACATAGGTATATCGTAAGGACTTACTTGTAAGAACAACAAGTAGAGTTCTGAAGAACATTTCACCAATGAAGTGATACCGTTCCCGCATTCTCTCCATGAAGAATGGCCACAATATGATAACAGGCACATAGAACTGAACACCATAGGTCACAAAGATAGCACCTACAAGCATGACTCGTACTGCAAGGTACAAACTGAAGGCAAAAGAAAAGCCAACTTTTACAGAACTTTAACATAGATAATGCTGGAAATAGTTCTTAAAGGCACTGTCCATCATTTTTCTCTGTGCATTATGCTCCATTGAGGCAACAAAATTACTAAAAATCTAAAGAAGGGTGCCCAAGAACAAACCTAATGAAGTTGCACTCCAGCTACTACTGCGTGTTCTGAGAAAAACAATATTTTAGATTTCAATTTAAGATTCAAAGTTGCTGAGTCCGGTTTCAAACTGCACCTCAATTGAGCATCTGGGACATGTTCTGAGGTTCAATCAAATGCAGATTCACGGTGTCACCCACAGAACCAATGAATGATAGAAAGCATGTGCACTTCTAATTGCAATTTTCCAAAAGTAAGTAAAGTAAGTCTTTAAATGCATCGTTGGAAATGGCTTTCTTTCTGGTTTCCTAAAAATGGCAGCTTCCTAAAAGACAGTTAGGTCCCTTAACCATTTTAAAACTCTGTGCGCCTTTCAACAATAATTTGGTCAGTTACTTCTTTGGATAACTACAAATGATGGACTGTACCTTTAGACAATGATGACCAGAGAGGAAATGAGGACTTTGAAGTATTCTCACGTTTTGATAAATTTTCATCTCATGCCTTAATCATGAAAAAACAAATCTGGGTACAAGATATGACATCAGCAGCTTCATAACATTCAACCTGCCTGCTCATGTTAGGGCTCGAGATTAATGGGCGCAGGTCGCTAAAATTTACCTGTTTGTCTCAGAAATGTGCCCGTAAATCATGATGATGGGCGCAAGTACTTACGCCCGTTCAATTCCATGTACCTAAACATTTTTACCATTTGTTTCTACTTTTGTCATGAAAAATACCTGAACTTTTGACTTCACTTCGGATCAGCCATGTCACGGAACCGTAATACGGTACAATTGTGTTTACAATGTCACGTTATATCACCGAGCCCACGCCGTAGTCTCGCATGGGATGCATTCACACATGTGAACGTACACACACATACCCGTGGCTGGCCAGTGTCATGATCTTGCTGAATGGTCTGCACAGTGGCTGTGTCTGAATCAATACGGCTGGAATTTACAGATGATTGTATGGAAACTGGCCGTGACCACAACCTCCTAGACTCATGCGTAAATTCAAGCCCAACAAATGGATTCGGCTTTGACTAAAGTTTCGCTGGTTCCAGTCATAGCTTGAACATGTGGTTCTGAACCATGCTCCAAAATAGCTGGAACCAGCTAAACCAAAGTCTCAGCCTAATCCACTCGTTTCGAAAATGCTCGATTGCTGCAGTTAGTTCCCTTTTACATTTGTGTGCATATGCATGTTATAAAGGCCTGGTGCCAGACTTTTTACATAGTGTCGCTCTCGCTAAGCACATGTTTGAGGTTCCGGTTGGTCGCGTACTTCACTATTAATTGTATGTCGCATGCAACCCGCAAAAATAACAACTCGATCAAGGCTTTATTTTATGCCAAAGTCTTAGCAGTAAATTATCAGTGTCATTAATTTAAACAAAAGCAACAGCAAGGACCAGGGTCTTTGCTTGTTTTCTTGAACATATGTCTTAAGTATTGTACAGGAGCTACTTGCTCCAATAAGTGACAAATTCAGCTGTCTAGGGAGCAAGTACTTGCTCCTGTGATGATTAGCCCAATTTCGAGCCCTGCATATTAGTAATACTATTTTTAAAATTCCCTGACTTGTTCATTTTCCATTGGAAACGTATAGTACTTTGTTATATTTATAGTTGAAGCATAGTTTTGGATTAAGTGCCCTGCCCATGTTGAGGCAGTAATAGATTTTCTCCTGCAGTGGTAGATTTACATCCATGTCTACGAAGTCTTTTGTCAGGAGAGATAAATCATTTCAACTCTGGAACACTCTGACTGTTTCCATGCTGAACGTTTTGACACTGACAAATTTCAGCTCATATACACTTCAGATTGTACAAAGACGAGTACTTTTACGATACAAGCTGTGAAAAGACAGCAACTGACTGAAACCTCTGGAGATAGCTCAACAGATGAGACTAAGAGATGAGACATTAGATGGCTTACCCACTGTACGGTAGATTCAAGGTTATAGTGTCAGCTGTTGTACCTCCAAAGCACAAATATCCTAGCACACCCATTGAGACGTAGAGAAAGACAACGATGAACATTCCACTCAGCATGACTCGGTTGAAATTCTGAGGGTTCTTCATTTTGTTCTCCAATGGTAAAACCTTCCCGAAAACACAAGATCAATAACTGCTAAATGTGATAATTCTTGTTGACACTAAGATTCACATTAATGTATATTTTCCCCCAAACTTTATGAGATCCGACAAAATGATTGTTTTAGTAACTCTTTACTCAAGCAAGCAAGCTTATGGCAAGGAAAACAGGTTAGTTTTGTTTCAAGGCTAAACCATAAGGGCAACCCCAAAAATGGAACTTGGCTACTTTATTGGTTTTCTGTTTAGTTACACCAATTAGAACTTCAAACTTGTTCTTTAGGATAACTGTGGCTACTTACCACTCCAATACCCTCATAGGAGTAGATGGCAGTGCCAAAGAAAATGAAGAATTCATTCAGATTACCAGCGAGAGGTAATTCCTTAGGGTCACTGAATTCTCCAACGTGCGACACCAGATACTGTAGAGATAAAGATGACACTCACTTCATTATTAATACTGAATAAGCAGGTGTCGTATCTCCTTTGTACATATAATTTTCTACTGTACTGTATTGCCAAAATCACAAAGGGTCAAGGCCCAATTTGAGACTACCTCTACTGATGACTTTTATCCACACTGCAAATTCTAGATGCATAACAATACATTAAAGGGAAACTTAAGAATTTCACATAATTTTTTTTGCTCTGTGACTAAAAGATTCAAGAAGACAAGTCTACATTAGGGGCCATTCAATTTTTCAAAAATATATATATTTTTTTCCAAAAATAGTGGGTGGGTCAAGGTAAGTAATTGAAAATAAAAAATTACTTTCATAAACAAAAAAGAAAAAGAAACGAATCTTTGACTTGCGCAGTGCTAACATTCCGTACATAGCGTGATCTTTTTTTAATCTGTACAGTTACAGATTGAATTACCAGTACATTATCTACTCGTAAATCTCCACATGTAAAGGTGGTTTTTCATAAGACACGAAAGTCAGGCATTCGTAGTGGTCTTATAAATGCAGCAGGGTACCAGGTGTACTCATTCAGCTTTCACACCACAGGCATCGATTACCAGTTGCTTCTACTACTGGATTGTTCACCCATTTAAAGACTGCAAGAACAGCAGCGTGGATCACTACTATGCCCTGCATGATACAGATTCCCATCAAAGCGCTCTATATAATAACTAGGTACCAACCTTAGTTTAAATGAAAAAGTATCATCGAAATTTAAAAACTCTAAAACTGTTGAATGGCCCTGACATTCAATGTTGTCTCCCCCTTCGTAGTATCATACAGTGTACTATAGTACAGAGACCGTGTCATTTATCTCCTGCAAAGTGAAATATTTTGGACAATTTGAGGAGGTTCTTAGATGTCTTCCAGACTTTGTAAATTTAAGTAAACTTCTGGATGAATAAACTACCATAATGTACATAATGTTGCCATGGTGAATATAAGAATGGTCCATTTTTTCATCAATCTTACTTCATAGATGATGAGTATTGATACAATGGTCAAGATGTTTGCAAGAGCAGAAAATGGAGCTAAGTCATCCAGATTCCTGATGTAGCAGTAAACAAGAACCATAGGAAATAACATCAGGATGAAGAGCTGTAGAGATGGCACACCAGTATCATAATAGTGGCAATAGATCTGAGGACAAAAGAAAGAACATCACTCAAGTGTTATTATGAAACATTCTTAACCAATTCCTGCCGAGTTTATATGGGTGGCTGGGGTCTCTGAACTCGGACAAAGGAAACAGGGCCCTGTAACAAAAGACCGTACTCTGAACAAAAGACCAGGCTGCTGGGCATTACCGACATTTTTCACTCTCTAAAGTGGTGATAATTCAGCCCTGTTTTGAAACTGTATACCAGGGTTTGGGGTATTGAGAGCAAGCGGATTACCACCTGGGACAAAAGCTCAGCGATGAGCCACACAGCACTGCTGCATGCTAATCTGGTCCCTATTGAAAAGAGGTCAGCAGTGCACTGAGCCAGGTTCGTGAACAAAAGACAGTTGTATAGCATCGCACAATCTGGGCTCGGTTTACAAGGCTGCAGGCCTGGCTGAAATACTCGGGCGTCAATAAAGATCACCTGTCAACTTAGAGTAGTGCCTAAAGATTACTTCGTGCGGCTAGAAACGACCGTTAAATGAAATGATGAATTTTTGAAGGATTTTGAACATGGAAAAAATGATAGTCGTGCCGGCCCAGCATCATCAACATTGAAAAATGCCCTGGCATGAAGTGGTTAAGTGTTGGCAATTATATTTCAACGCTTGTAAACAGCAACGAGAGAGTGTTAATTTCCTCTTAGTTCTGGTTGACTCACCTGTCTGATGTTGTCACCCATGAAGAGGAAATACACACAGCAAAATCCTAGCTGAGTGAAGATGAGGAATCCATTTACTACATAACTGAAACAAGAGACACATCAATCCATAAATATCAGAAATAAAAGTGAACTGTGCATACACTGCTTCCAAGGTACGGTACCTTCTAAAATACTGTATAGAAACATGCAAACTTTCAAGCCCTTTGTAAATTGCGAGTGGCTGGGTTCCAGCTTCATAAATTCTGAAAAATCACCCTAAGCCCCTGAATGTTATTTAAATAATCTGGGTCCATGGTAAAGAGACTTTTGATCCGGTCAGTCAGGAAAAGGCAAAAGGGATGCAGAAGAATTTGGACATAAGATTAATGTAAAAAACCTATTAACTCTCTGGAAGACACACAAAAATTAATTCATTATCAACTGAATGCAACGTTTTGGGTACTCGTGTTTGAATGTTGGTGCTTGATTTTCAGCTAGAAGGTATGTGACCTCATCACTGTTAATGAATACCTCTAAATACTTAGAGAAAGCATCCTACACATCACTCCTCGTTAACAATGCATATATATCTTAATGCTGCACTATCAGGATGTCACCCTGTAACCTTGACAAGAAAACCAGTGCATGAGGTATTTTGGGAAAAAAAAGAAATCTGAATCTGGTTAACCCAAATGTTTTCCCCAACCATTTCACAAAGAGGCTAGATTCCAAAGACACTTATCTCAAATTTGCACTATTTGCCCACCAGTTGTACACAAAATCATTTATATCTGATGACTGTTGAGTTCAGACAGACAGTACCCTAATATATGATTACTTTTATTTGTCCCATTTTCAAATTCTAACACATCCACTTTCCCCCAAATTGTTGAAACATTAAAACTTGACATGGAGAGGATACTGTTCAACATGCTTTCATATACATGCCAGTTTTGCAACTGCAGTATTTGAGAAATTTTTACAGTCCTAATCTCAAAATCAAATCATGTTTTTCTTTTTTTTCACGAGACCATCATTGCTGGGGACCCTACACAACTTGCTGAATTTAATGATTTGCTTTGCAGTGTTTGTATATTCTATGAGTGACCACAGTGGTGGCCAGTATGTATAAGTTTGGTTCAACATTGAAAGTTGGTTCCCATCCCTCATCAAAGTTTCCTCTCATGTAAAATGGATTTCGGGAACAAAATCATTTTAGAAAATGAGTGAAAAAGTCGAGCCCAAACTGATAGTAAAGTACCAGCTTACATGGTGCATTCATTCCCTTGCACTTATTCCTGCAAGCATGACTACATTTGATTTAATTTTTCTATAACTTCTTGCCTTGACATGAGTCTGACACAGGTACAGGTAAAGTGCAACAGCCAATTACATGTGGTCACTGAACCAGTCCTTAACAATCTAGACAGAACAATTCAGTTATATTCACTCCTCCAGCCAAGGCCTAATAGACCACGGTCATAATCCCCTACCAGGACAATAACAAGACCAGGAAAATTTACTGGGATTATTGGCAGCCTCTGAATGTCTACTGCCTCCTTTTGTTTGACACTAACAGCACTATTAAATTGGTTCTTTTCGTTGGCACATTTTGGGGACCTCCTGATTTCTGGTAAAATATCAATCACCACATGGTTTGGAAACTAATTTACAAACCATTCAATGATAGATGAACCATTTCTAATTGGTCAACATCCTAACTGACCCATTGAATTACGAAGGCAAGTATCTCACAATGTGAAAATGTGCTGGCTACGTCTTATGCTGCTGTGGCAGGGAATTTCAAGAGTTGATATCACTGTAAAAAGTTCAGAAAAGTTGTTGCACATTGTGGCAGATTGGCTTCAGCCAACTGACTTCTTTGTAAGAGAGGCAAGAAATGTGTGTTCAGATGTTCATTATTTTTAAAAGCTCTAATTAATTTTGCCAATTTAATCATCACATGATCTCCTGACCCAGTCAAGGTGCTAATGCTCAACCTCGAGTAACCCCCAAATCATTCATGTACATGTATATGTATTTCTACGGACTAGGCTTGTTCATCTATGCTTAGTACAGTGAGGCAGGGGGGATAAACAAAAACTAAATGCACTAGTTATCCCTCAATCATTTTAAAATGAATAATTTACTCAGTTACATCTGTTACTACTTGACAAAATTCACATTTCACAGCAAATCTTACCGACCAATGGAGCATTTTTGTCGTAACCAGCCAATTGGCCCATGTTTTAGTGACTGTTCTGCAACCTCACCATAATCAAGTGTGACACTGGCAGTTCTGAAAGTGAAGGGTTATAAAAAGGATCATGATTGAAAAGATTAACCACCCTAATTCCTTCCAACTAAAGGCAGGATTCAACAGACACACAAGCAGGCTATGGGTAACACCTCAGGAAACATGCCAAAAGGAAAAAAAATCAAACTACAGAAGAGCTTCCCATGTTATGTAGTTTACAATGAAACAGAGGCTATCAATTACCGATCCATGGGGAAGTAAGTTGCATGTGGTTTACAAGACAACTTCAATGACACTTTTGTGTAGCTTGTTCCAGTTTCTTTGTGTCTTTATTTAACCCGGAAGAGTTTACAAGTGAAACAAAAATCTCCTACATAAACTAAGGAGCATGAGTGTTTGACTACTGTCATAAGCTTAGATGATTGGAGAGAGAACAGAAGATCAGAGGTTTGCACACAATCTTACCTACATGTACATGTAGTTCCTATGTTATAAAATTTCTTTTAGTTTCAATGTGGTTTCTTTAATGTCCTCATTGGAAACCCATGTAACACCACACCCTCTGACAGAAAGGAATTAATAAACTGTTATTTTGCCTATCCTTGGCTCTGTTTGCATATGCAGGGCTCTTAACTAAAGGAGGTGTTCAAACGACCCACACTGAACATTTCAAAATCACACAAGTCAATTCATGGACAGCAAAAGTACATAATCTTCGCTTGCAAAATGTGGTATCAGCTGATCTCATTTGTGAGAAAACCTTTCAGAAGGCAGTCCTCTGGACTATGGGCTCTGAGCTAGACCAAGAAAGGGCACAATTTTCCAAACAATGGGGGTTCCTTAGATACTAACTGCACATTGTTGGCTCAAGAACAACTGTGAGCCGAAAGCGTTGCAGTCTCATCACTACCAATAAAATGAACACTCCAAACCAACACGGCTCTTTTCAACTGATGGGGGGGGGGCTTTTGCTTGGGGCAGATAAACAAAAATCTAAAAACAGCAGAATGTATCATATGCTTCCAGGATAGAAGATTCAGTGAGTTCCCTGCCAAAATGCCTTGGGAATCCGGGTGATAACACGATCACATATATACATGTATGAACAGTTGCTACTTGGCTCGTTCTGAGTAGGAACAAGAGCTAGCATATCTGATACAGAAATAATTTCTGATTGAAGAATACTTAATGTATGCATGCAAACATGCGCGTTTGGCATGGGGTAAGCTGTGCTGAGCACAAGCAACCAACTTCTGTTGATCGTTACTCTTTGCGCATTTGCCGGGTGCTCAGTACGGGTGATTCACAATAGCGTGTCTCCAAGATTTTGCAACACGTTGTCGACCCTTTCCAAATGCGCACTGGGTCGACAGATTAAGCGCTTTGTGATTGGCAAATGCATTGCAAACTCTTGGAGGCGCACTTTTTTGAATCGCCCATATTGAAATGGTTACCACTAATCTCTCTGGTTTTGTCAATGAGGACTTTCACTGTCTTAAAGCAAATCGAACAACAAGCACTCACCGTTCACATAGATCATGACATACAACCACCATGATGTGCATGCAGGTTAGGGCAACAACCCCCATCAATGCAAGGCCGAGCGGGCCAACCTGAAAAAAAACAACATCATCATCTTATGCTTCTCTAACACAACACATACAGTACAACCAGACTTATTGTTCCAAGTCTTGTTAAGATGTGGGAAGCTGACCTTCAAAAATACCTCCTGTTGCACTTTTCCAATCCCAAAACCTTTTTTTCTTTCAACACAAAAAATGAATAAACCACACCTTTATCAAAATAAAACAAAATACTCATCACCAAAATATTTATGTCAACTACAGTTGGGACTAATATGCAATGCTGTTTGTCTTCAATTTTTTTGGAAGCCAAGTAAAATTAAAATGCTGTATTACACTGCAATCAACAATGACTCCAAAGGATGAATTTCCGGAGCAATTAGCAGGCAATGTAACAGTAAGTACAAACTTACCACAATTCCTGCATTCTTCACTGCAAATGGTAGTCCCAAAAGACCTGTTCCTATATTCCCTTTCAGTATGTGCATAAACGTCTGCAAATCCCTGCAAAGAAATACATGTAGACCAAATCAATGGCATAAGGTAAAGATTTCATTTCCAGTTCATGTTTTTCCAAGCCATCTGCTCTACGAGAATCACAAAATAAGGTCAATTGAGGAATAACATTACAGCACAGTTTACCTAATTTCCACAAGATCGAAAGGTTTTAAATAGTGTTTGTCAACCTTGCCCCTGTCTTTGTTTTCTGCTTTGTTTTCGTATGTTTCAGTCCCTGGGCAAAGGTATAGCTGATGTCACTAAAATAGGTACCTTAATTAGCACCATCGACAGTTGTAATAGCAAAACAAGAGTGTAGAAAAGATGTTACGATACAAGAGGTCTAAACCCTGTAGATACTGGTGCATGGATGACTCTCTAGGGTCTATAGTTGTGGTGTCCCACTTACGACATGTCCAGGTAGTAATAACGAGTGGAAGTGGGGTCTTGCTGTTTTAGAAAGTCACTTCAGATGTCCAGCCAAAATTAATGTCATATTGCTACCTGGGCAAATTCACTGTTATGCTACACTATTCACATGCAGTTAAATTCTTAACCATAAATTGATAATGGCTCTGGTTCAGTAACGTGCTGCAGCTGGAACAAAGCCAGCCTCTACAGCCTATTGGTTAAAATCATAAAGCTACAGGACGCAGCTATTTTACTGCAAGCTGAAATCCATGACGGCGGAATGGGGGGGGGGAACCTGGAGGCCTAACTTTTTTTACTTCGGGGAATGTCCTCCCTCTCCCATTCTCCATCAGAAAACGATAGGGTGGAACTTAACCCTAACCCCCTAGGCCTTTTCACTAGGAACCATCCTCAATCCCCCCAAATCATCCAATTTTCTACATGAACAAATTGCATTCAGCCTCAATCCTCTGAAATCCTCCATGATTTCTTGAAAATGTTATTTGGGGGTGTGCCTACTGCCTCAATCCTTCAAACTCCTCCGGTAAATCCTCTCATTATGGTGAGGCAGTGCGAAGGGCATTCTAGAGCAGTGCGGTTGATTCAGAACAAATATTGGGCGGAATTCATGTATGACTGAGCAAGAACAACACAAGGTCTAACTTATGACCTTCACTAATAGCATCCTTCAGCCATGCACTTTGGCCATTCACCCTCAATCCTCCAAAACCACCCAAAGGATTTGGGAGGATTGAGGAGGGTTGACCCTAATGGATTTGTTTATCATTGGCTGATTCCCCACGGTCTCACAAGCGGGTCTCCCTCCCACTTTGAAAATAGTTTCCTTGCTCTTAGCTGGAATGGCATGGACCATGACCACAAATGAAGAAAACAAGGGCAGTTGCTTTCTGATGATAAATTTCTATCATTAATCTACTGATAAGACTTCAGATCTACGATAATGGCTGGCTAAGTGCTATCTGTGTTCTTGACCTTTCCCGTTAGGAAAATGACTGGTATAACAGTCTGATTCAAATGACTTTCAGAATGTACAGCAACTGAACAACTTTTACTTTGACACAAGTAAAATCAAGCACTTTATTGCCAAGTGAAGTTGAGTGACAATGTTTAGCCAGAAACTGTAAGCAGGTGATTGAAATGTAGTGTCAATGGAAAAAAATAAACTTTCATTGAACTACGTATATTTACATGTATGTACAAAGAATGTATTCTTTGTACATATGTTTATGTCTCTGATATGCCACTATCTAGTTAAATTCTGAATTACAATTCAAAGTGATGAAGCTGAAATTATTATTTCAAAAGAAAAGCATTCTTCTTCCCATAAATACATGTTCAGACACATCACCCCAAAAACCTACAAACAAGAGGGCTTGCATACTGCAGTATTCCCAATACTCACGTTGTGGCATGCTCAGTTGCCAGCCTTGATTCTGTTGACACTGTGAAGTTAGCATTAGGTGTCCCTTGGAACACAACCTCAGCTGAAGTATTCTCTGCTTCAGCGGGAACACGGCCAAGCTGTCTACCTTGGGGTCTAGTGGTGGGTGGGTAGCTGTGGAAATCTCGGAGTAAAGGTTGCTTTTCTGCCATTTTCTCATTGAAAAGATACTCACTGGTCATCTGTGACAGAAAAATTGACAAACTGTGAAAATATTCAAAAGCAGGAGCCTTGATTGAACCCTAGCCATTTAATACATGTCAAGGTTTTAAATGTTAAATGTTGAAATTAAGATATGTACATGTACATAAAATTAACATTTGTGACTTCATTTCAACTTTGTTCATTTTCCCATGAGAGATTTTCTTCATTCTATTTTTCAGCAATGGAACAGAGTAAAGATATTTATAGAAGATTGATTAAATTTCCATCATCTCATTGGTGGATTGCTGATCACATTTCCCAATAGCCAAGGCGTGGTGGAGCCATGCTGCCCAAAACTGGTCTATTCCACCAGTACACGGTGGAAAAATTACGCTTCTCTGAAGCGACGTTTGGTCTTAGATAAAAAGGTCAATAGGAAGATGCTCTCGCAAGGCTCTGAGAAGACATGTCAACACAGGATTTAAGAGACAAGGGGACTTTCCACAGGTTGCCAGTAATCCATGTGCACCTACAACGAAGAATAACCGCAATGGTACCAGTATGTTAACAAGTACATGTACTTGTGGTAACTTGTTTACAAATTTTAAACTAATGCAAATGTGCCTCTTGTTCCTCAGATCCAAAGGTTGAAAGCTGTTGTAAAACTTTGCTGAGCGTCAAACTGCTGTTTACTTGGACTTGGAGATAAAGTCTCTTGTTTATTGTTGATATGAGAACTTTTCAAGATATGATTACATAGTGTTACTACCCCACTAACCTTTCTTTAGCCATAACCCCCTCAGCATTTTTTTCTAGAAGGCTGACTCAACCTGTCAAATTCCAACACCCTTTCACTGCTGGGTGAGTTATATGTACATGTACTCAACCCCCTGGATTCCAACAGTCCACTTGCTGTATCAGTACTCAGTCCAACAAATTCCAACAGGCAGTAAACGGTTCAGTTTTAGCTGAGTGGGGATACTTGGTCATATACTACATGTATGTACATGTATAAGGAATGGGAACACAGTGTACTCATCCCTTCCAGATCCAACAACTGCAGGGCTATACAACATTTTATTTGTGGGGAGGGCTCAAATTTCTATGTTTTATCTGTGACTTCTCTTGAAAAAGCAAGGTCACTAAACACATTGGAGCAATTTATTCTACTCCTTAAGTACAGGTACATGACCAAATGACCACCATTGTTTACAGGCGCACCCATACCAGCAGCATTATTCATCCCAACACCCAGCAGCAGGTACTGGGCATTACCAACCATACCCACTCAGTCCAAACCAGTGTTGTATCCGAGACCTTGATGTCCATGACCAATACCGATACCGAGACCAAGGCATACAAGACTGAGACCAAGACCGAGACCTACTCCATCAAGACCAAGACCAGGACTTCGTAACCGAGACTGTTACTGCATCGGTACAGTATTCATCCTGTCATAACCCAACACTCTGTGTTGTAAAGTTTCATATGTACACAGAACTCAACCCATCAAATTTCAACAAACTCTGTTGTTGTAAATCGATGGGATAGGGAACATTAGGTTTAGAAGCTGCTTTAGAATTAGAATTATTTGGAACTTAGAGACCCTACACAAGACTGGAGAGTACTATTTCATAACTCAAACTATGATGAATAGATATGACAATACTATGGTCCATTTTATTCTTATGACAATACTATGGTCCATTTTATTCTTATGACAATACTATGGTCCATTTCATTTTTATGACAATACTATGGTCTATTTTATTGTTTCCTATTCTGATTGAAAACGACTTTGTGCAAATAATAGCAGAACTGATAGGTCACAGTTTTCAAAGACTTAAACCAAAACCCAATAAATATTCCATACACAAAAGTCCTTCTAAAAGTTGGAAAAACACAAAAGTAGGCCTACCCTACCTACATGTAATTAAAAGACACAACTGGATGACATGCCTTAAAAAGAAACTTGCACAAATTCCCTTCTTCCAATAAGGTGGACCATTGAATTATTACTGATAAAGCCCAACATTTGAGCAGTTGGCAAATGAGATTGTTTTGAATCATACAATCCCACATGATAGAGCTGAAAGACATACAGTAGAAGCAAATAAACAAAGGAATCCACAACGTTCATGTACATACCTACATGTTTACACACTTCTGTGGTTTCACATTCATCATCTTATAAATCAAATACAATGGTCATAATCAGACTCACGCAGCGTTCCTTCACAACTTGTCACCCATCATGTGACTCCTCAAGCAACTGTTTGCTATATTCACAAAGTTCAAAGTATACACCCCTTATCAAGTCCCTGACTCCCCGTCTGTACTGTATGTATTCCACAGTGGAGCTGCGTGTCCTTTTGATAGGTCTCTGTCAACTGATATAGTGTTCACTAGCACCTGCACTAATATACATGTAAATCCCAACATGTTTTTTTTACTTACAGATACTCAGACACAATGAATGTGCAATGTACATTCAATTCACAACACCTGGTCACCTGGTAAGGCTGCATGCTAAGATAAGACTTGCTGTTCAAAGCAAAATAAGGTAACCTACAATTTTTCTCTAGGGTCCAACATATTTATTTTGTGCACTAAATAATGTAAATATTCCATCATTGTTCAACAAAAGAATACATTCATATAAAACAATGCATAAATAACGTACCAAAAAACTTGACATCCCCGCTGAATGCTACCGGTAGTCTGGGCCACTTTTGTGAGATGTCAAAATAATGAATTAAGGATGTCATGCCACTGCATGATGTCAACCACAAGTCGTGGAGGTCAAACATGATTAGCCATGTTCAGCCATCCATGCTGGTCATGTCTGGTCAGAGGTTGAACATATTGCCCATGCTGGTACTGCACCATCCAAGGTAAACTCATTGCCATGAGTGATCAACAATGTTACTGGTATGGGATCAACCCGGTCACACTTTCATCAAAATGTGATAACAGATGTCAGTGAGTCTTAAACCCACGGATGCACATGTATATAAAAAACCTGGACTTGCAACACCTTTGTATGAAACAGAAGCGTGGGTTGGCTAGCTTCTATTGACGCCAGGGAGAACAAAGGCGGGCATTGCCGGGCAACCTTTGTATTCGGCTCGGTAAAATAGCCGCTAGTGGATTCAATGATCTCTATATGCTGATTAAGGGCATTGCGAGTCTAGATTTTTTTATAAACGTCCGTGGTTAAACCTGGGTTATTGTCATGGCAAACTCACTGCACACTATATCAACAAATATAAACAAAACTAAAGGAACGTAGTTGTGAACAACCAGAGCTGCTTCAGATTCAGAGCCTTTTCTAAACATCATTTGTATATTTTGTGAGAGCTCTATTTAATTCCCAGAAAATGATCAGACATTGCCTAATATGTAGAATTTAAAAAATTATATTATGGTAACGTCATCGTGACATCACAAGATTTTTCAACAAATAGATATCTAATAGAATTGCTGGAAGTCCAGCAAAAGGAATTTTGTTTTGTTTAAGAGATATGTCAAAAAGAATGTCAAAATGACAACAATTACAAATCTTCAAAACAATCAAGTGGTGACGTCAACATGACATACATGTAACCCACATTTCATAACACATTTGCATTTGTTTTTGCGCAAAATTTCAACCCACTGGGGCAAATGGTTCCAGAGATACAAGCCCGAAAAGAATTGAACTTTGTGGGTTTGTCACCTGACAACTGATGACATCATGAAGACGGATATCTTCTAGGACCATCCTAGGATAGTGGTCTAAGTATATGCAAAGTTTGAGGGCAATCACCCTTACTAAAGTGCCACAGTGTTATGGAGGAAGATTACTGACAAGAAAAACACCCAAAAAGTGGTAATTGTTGAAAAAAAATTTTTTTTCTTTATCAAGATGTCACTATTCTGTGGGATATTTCATTTTTTTTCAAACAGGTTTCATAACCTAAAGCACGTCTCTCTTAATCCTCTTGATACCAACTTGTGTACTTTGGAGAAGTACTTTATGCTGAAACATCTGGCCTTCAGACGTAGGTCATACTTTAACCTAGTAAAAATCACCCTATCCCCCATCCTCCCACCAGGTGTACTGACGTGTAATAAATGGGTATTGCGCAATCATACATTTTTCGCCCTCTTAATCCCAATGTTTTCTCAAAAACCGCTGCAAACTGTCTGTGACATTGTTCATTGTTAGAACTGTAGCAAAAAAGGCATTTTGAGGGGTTTCTGTTCCTGTCTCTTGATAAGTGTCCAATACTTCACCATCGTGAACCAGAAAACGAAAACAATAGCTGCTTCAGCAGTGTTGCCGAAGCAGCTAAATATGTTCAAAAAAGAGAATTAAGCGTTGGCTCAATAAGGTTGCCTTGTTCATTCCAAGGTGTAAATCAACTAATCTGAGAACATATCTGGCTGAGTCAATTTCGAATACATCACTATTTGAATATTCAACCTTCAATTTGATCGAATATCCGAATATTCCGTCGCACTTGTTGATGAACAAACCTATACAAAATCAGTTGCAATAACAAACACACAATTATTAATATACACTGTAGGTTGGGTAAAGGGCAAAACTTGTTATATGAGTTAACATCTCCCCAAGGCAACCAAAAAAAAAACATTTATCTTGAAAACACACGCAATTGTACATTATGATCAATATAACGGCTTCTCACGTCTAGGAGTATCATCAGTCACAATTTAGGAAGATTTTAGAGATTAACAAGACTTCTTGCCCCGTTGAAAATTTCTACTCCTTTTAAATTGTTTAATGAATAATTTTCTTTTTAAATCGTAGGATTTCTGATGCTTTTCATTTGAATCTGCTTGAAACAAGCCTTCATGGTGCAATTTTTCTCATTTAAAACAAAAGAAATTTTCTCTTGCTTTGAATGAATTTTGCATTCTAGTATTCAAATTCAAAAAATAATATTTGAATATTTGACAATCAATTGAATAGTTGGTTATTCGGATATTCGGCACAGCCCTAAGAAGTAGTGAACAACAATATGTTAACTGGTTGCTGATCCATTAATAAACTTATACATTAACTTACACACTGAAAGAATTCCACTTGTCTGTTTTGGAAACCACACTAATTACACAAACATGTGCAGTAGATGAAGATCACTGGACTGATACTCCACAAACCAAGTTGGAGCATTGCTCACAGTGAATCTTGGTTGCATTTGACTTTCTCAATGACCTGAGTATCCATTCTCTGACAGTGTGGAGTGATGTGCAGTACTACATGTATTCCACCAGCTGGTAATTTTCCACTCAAACTGAAACTGGCTTGAATTCATAAAGATAAATACTCACCCTTTGCCTCAGGATAAGGAGTGATTAATATCTAGATGTGTACTTTGATCCAATTTTCATTTTATCTACCGGCAAGTGCAAACTACACTTCAGATAGACTCAAAACAAAGCCTGTCAATAAGAAAGTAAGATTTTCTCAATACAAGATTGATGAGGGGTGTGGAAGGGACCCCATGTGTTTTCTTCGCCATGACAACAGTAAGCTTCTGCACATGGACTTTTGAAGACACAGTTTTGTAAATTGTTACTTCATTCCTCTAAATTAAAAATTAATTAATTAATTTGAAACTATCGGGTACATGTTTAAGTAAAGTCCAAGATGCCACCGAAGTGACAGGAACACCATTATCTGCAGACTAGTCCGATCTGCTGTAGTAAAAGTTCACTATCAATTGTGCTTGGACTGCAATCGTCATTTTATGGGGTATCGGTAGTGCCCTACTTCTGAAAAATCAACCAGTTTGGGTCTCTCGAATTAGGCACATTTTTTCTGTGTTTAGTTCTTTGGTTTGGTGATTCAAGCTGACAAAAAAATCAACTTTTATTAGCCATACAGGTATCTTAACTTCCCATCACTTCCTCTTTCTTGTTTTAGTTTTGATTATTCAATTTAATTTCAAGTTACACAACTTACAGTGAGGCATAAATTTTCTTTCTTTCAAATGAACCATATTTGGCCTTAATTTGAGTGATTGATCTTTTTACTATTTACAAACAAACCTTCTCTTTCTGTGCATATTTCTGAAAATAGCAGTAAAATAAAATGGCCAAGATCTGAGCTCATTGGGATGGAAACCTCAAAATATAAGGGGTGCAGTTTTTAAGACCGTGTAATTTTTGCTTTTACTTTGCACATAACTGCAAAAAGAAAATGGCCAATGTGGCAATCGAATGACAGTAAATTAATGTCAGTGTTTAATTTCAAGAGATTCGCAATGACAAAGTTAGACGTGCTAATATTTGTATGTGCAAATTTACGGTACTCAAAGATACCGTCATGACCATACCTTCTTATCCATATCATCTTGTGGGTGCAGTCCACTTTAAATTCAGGTTATAACATCTGCCTAGCTTGTTAGTATGAAAAGAGCATCCCCTCCGTTTCTTTTAAAAAAGGAGTTTGTTTGGCCAACAAAATGTTCAGATTGTGTAAATATCTGCAGAGATCAACTCCGTGGTTCTTTGGGCTTCCGTCTGAGGGCACAAAAATGGGTTGAAAAATGGTCCTCAGTGCCCAAGAAAGTAGAAGGGTGACATCTGAACATGGCTGCATGCAGACTTCCAAACTATCACTTTTGGGGGGGATTTTGTTTTGCGCAAATAATGAAAAAAAATAATTGGCTACCCCACAAAAAATGTAAAAAGAAATGGAAAGATTAACAGCAAAATAATCATTTAATTGGAAAGAGTTGCAAATACGGATGCAACATGACACCTTGTGCATAAACTCTATGAGACTGGTCTCAAAAATTGTGTTTTCTACAAGAATACATCAATATTTTCCCTGCTAAAGTGGACTTATTATTGCTTTCAGATAGCTAAAGGTTAACTGTAGGGAAAATTAGTGGAATCCATATTAGTGTGAGTAACTTACTCTTTTCTTAGACTCTACATGTATGAATTGCCTTTTTAAAAACATTTTGACGTAGGCTAGCTCGGCCTATTTATGTACATGTAAGCCAATTTCCTGTTCTGTTGCCACGTTGATTTTTAGCACCCTCGAGTAAGTGAACAGAGCTAGAGGGGAACAAATTGTCTACCATGTCTACAACAGTAACAATTGCGAGCATTCAATCGCCAAACATTACGCAATGTTGCTGCAGAGCGTGCGCACATGAAACGTGAAAAAGGCTCCTTTCCATTTAATCTTTGTTTCATGGTTTGAGAAACACATGTTGGGATGTGGGTTAAGTTGCATGTTATTGAGCCCAGCACAATGATGATTTTACTCTGTTTTGAACGGGGCTTGTATTTCTGGAAAATACAAGGCGGAGATGCCCTTTATGATTTCCACAACTTAAAGTAGGCCCACAAAAATGTCACTCAGTGATGCCATGCCTTCGCCGAAGTCTGAACGTCAACTCATATGATATGAAAGATGGAACAGTCAACTCAAAATGCTGAACTTACCTCGGACATGGCTTACTGGAATGGTGACGAAAGCATTTGAACGAACACAAAAATGTATAAGTTACAATGGTTCAATAACCACGAACGGCTGTCTGCAGGATGCATGAGCATGAACACTTTTTCCTTCCATTTACATGTACAATGTACATGTGTACTGTACATGTACAACATGTACCTGTATGCATGTACATGTACTGGGTCTAGGCCTTCAATGCACGTGACGCATGGTGATCATTGAGGGCGCACTCGGTAGTTTTGCGGCCGATTTTTTTGACGCTGTCCTGATCTATCCTGTGGGGGAAGCATTATTTTGCACCCTCCTGTTAATATCAGCACAGCTTGGGGAAAGTGTGGGGTCACACGGTGAAAGGGGTTAGGCTGGGAGGAGATTCCTTCCTTCACGGGTTAGGTTAAGCGGCTTCGTTGTGACAGTCTATTCATCCCCCATATGAGATTCTCCACCAGTTGTTTTCATAAGATAATTCAGAAATGATTATTAGAGTTGAATCCCCCGGCACATGAAAAAAGAAAGAAAAAAAAGTGGACTTCTGTCCACTAGTGACCGTACTTCAATCCAGTGGCGTATCCGAGTCCGGGTGTTAGGCCAGAAGGATATTTTTGAAAATGACAGTCAAATTCAGTTCCTTGCAAAATATAACACGTCTCTGATTTGCTTTGTTGAAAGATGACTTTTACTTGCACATAATTATATCTACTGTGCACTAAATAAAAGATATTTAAAATGATTTCAGATGTTGTTTGTAAGCAAGCCGGACGTAAAGAGGATTTTATAATCTTTACCTAGTTAAAGCAAAGGTAATGCTTCTGGGAGAGTTGCTGATAGCTATTATTATTTCGGCTCTTCAAAGAGTCAAGCATATACGTTGTGAGTCCTGCACTGTGTGTAAATTAACGTTTCATTAAAAAGAACGATATTGTTCAGAAATAATAACAAATTACACTTCTTCGTAGCAGTTTGTACAAATTGTGTTATTGTCATTTTGTATCTCTTGCAATAAACGCAAAAACATGCAAAATGGTCTTCCGGTTTAACAGAATCCTGAACACGGAACAGTCGTTATAAAAGTCATAAAAGAGAGAGAAGACTGCGACACAACAAAAACGACACTGCCGATTTCGAATATTGCACGATGATATGCAATGGGAGATACGAAATGCTGGAGCCTGTGAGCCCACACCGACGTTCAATAATGCATACAAAATACAAATGAGCAAGCTGAAAGCTAAACAATAAAATAAAATTTACAAAAATGAAAATGAAAACAAAAAGAGGCAATGAATCCTCTGTACTTCAACCACTTAAATAACCCAAACTACTAGGGGTCGCAGTGATTACCAGCACATCCGCCCTTCGATCATTCTTTTGCTTTAGTAGCGGTATGACGGGGGGAACACTGATTACGTGCCCCTGTCTTTCTTTCTTTTCTCTTGCGTGAGGGTATGTGTGCAGGCGTGGCATACATAGTGTGGACTATAATGTAGGGTATGTTGTGTGGACTAGCACACGTCCACAATGTTTTTCCCTCTCTAAAAACCAGAGTTTCAGAGGTATTTTGGGTCAGGGTTATCTGTGTCAAAATGAAGAGGAACAGTCCGGGAAATCATCATCAAAAATCCCGCTCGAAGGAGTTATCCTAGTTGGAGAAAAAGGGGTATTTACCTCAAGTTTCCTTAACCACAAGAGAACAAAGGAATGTCCACACTTTGTATGTAAAACAGGGGGTGGGGGTGGGGGATACACATTTTCCTTCCCGGTTCAAAAGGGTTATCTAGTAACTTTAAAGACAAAAATTGTCCCTTGTATATGCCTGGCTTGTACCTAACAGTTTTCTTTTTGTAAATATTGGACCCGCAGCCACGTCAAATATCCAGTTGTAATAGCAAGGACTGTAGGATATTAAGAAACTAAGCTGAGATGAACACGCGTACCCATCTAATTCCCCTCGCTTTCGAGAAATTAACAACTTCTTTGGGGCAACAGTCTTAAAATAATTCTTTTTGAAAAGTTTCCTTCTTGTGTGAGATTGATTTGGGGCTTTTTGTCCAATATGCATTCTTTTACCCATAAAATAAATGAAAGCACAGGGAATGCCCAAGAAAACCCCGGAAGTCTGGCCGCCATCGAATCTCACACTGCGTCATTATTTTTCAGTGACATGTCGGCCCTCCACCTCCGTCGAAGCATCGTTTCTTAAATCGATCCCCGAATACAGGCTTACAGTATTAAAATTGACTAGAAATACATCTACTTCATAATTTGGCTTTGTTGTATGTGCATATAATTTGATTTGTTTCGTTAGGACTCATATTGACCTAACAACAGCAAAGTCAGACAATTTTCAAAGTTGTGGGTTATTTGAACTGCACTTGCAGCTGGCCGCAGTGGCCGGGCGGTGAATTCTTTTTCCGTAGGTGGGTGAGTCAAAAACATGAGAAGGCCTCGTGAATAATTCATAGTTTGACTCACCCACGTACGAAAAAAATCGAAGCTTGGCGCACGCACGGACGCCGCTAACAATGAAGGGCGCCCTCGTTTGGTAAGTAAAAGAATGCGATAATTTGCTATTTCCCTGTATTTATTTCTCATTACCACCTACATTTATCCTTCTATTTATTTTCTATAAAACAAAAATACTTTGAAATTTAATTTTTGATTTAAATATTATATATGTGGAAAAAGTTTTATCGTTAATTGCAGGCATTGTGGGCCTACATTACGGACGAGCCTGTCCGACAAGTCCTTGTGTGCGGCGCGAGAGGGAAATTCTGTCACTAGTATCTTTTTTGTTTCAGACTGATTTTACAGTTCTACTCCTCAAAATGTCAGACAGTGAAGAATCGCAGGGCGCACCAGCCCCACCTCTTCCTTTTGGCCAACCGGTATGAATCCTGTAGCATTACTTCATGGTCTTACTGGCAGTTTTCTCATGTTTCTAGACAATGCGAAGTGGATTTACGAAAAATGGCAGAAGGCCTATCGTCAGGGTTGCTGACGCACGGCATGTAGGCCTAACTAATTACTTAGCCTTATCTCTAATACCCACATAAACGCATAGACCGTCAGTCTTGCGTTTATAACCGTGATTTCGAACAGTAAGGGCAAACGATAGGCGAAACGATGGGTGGCAGTGCGTTCAGTGCGCATTACACACAGCGCACTTACATTGCCTGTCATGCCTGTATTGTTTACATGTGCTTCCAAATAGGTTCACCTTTTTTGCTCTTCTGCACTGCTATCCCTTCATGCCCTTCTTTTCAAATGTTGCGACTGCATTGTTTTAAATCCCTATGGGCCATATTAGCCCTAACCCTCCTCAATCCTCCAACAGGTGAAGGATTGAGGAGGGTTAGGGTTAAGTATAGAGAGGGTTTTTTACAATCTACAAATGGTTTCATAGAATTTTGTGGCTGAAATTCTTCAACTGTGCATAAATTCCCTATGCCGAGGGTAGCCCCATTAATGTGGCCTATGGTACACTGTGCTCCCCTACAGCCACATGCCCATATACGGAATTCTTGTTGACTTTTTCAAGCGCTTCAAAATGAAAGTATTTTCACAAATGGAGTCCTTCACTACGTAATCTTACCTCCTGCTTTGAGAAATTTGCAGCTAATTTTTGAGCTTCATACGTTCGTGCACATTGACATTGACAGCTCGAATCATCATGGCGTCAACTTTGTGACCCCTAAACCGTGACCTCACATTATGCAAATACAGCACCAGGAGTTCAGATGCGACGGTTAGTTCCTGTTTACACACACATGGGCTGGCAGTCATGGCAGTGAGCAGTTTAGGAAAAAAGGGCACTGTTTGCTCATTTTTCCTTCCCACAATACCTTTCTACTACTGTGTAAAATCACCCATGCTGTATTTGCGATAAGGCTTAGCCATGTTAGCCAATGAATTCAATGACCAAATTAGAAGCCATTGCTTATATGTATTTATAGACAGAGTACTCAGTTGCCGAAGTGCGCATACGTGCTCAGGTTGGCGTCTCATTGGACAGTGTAGGCCTCGGCCCCATTCAACTAGGCCTAGTGGCTGCTGCTAGCGATTGGCCAATCTGCAGGATCACATGATTGCTCTTCGCAAGTTGTTGATTTGGCATGAAATACTCGTATCTCACCAGACTTCCCTTTTTGAAAAAGAAAATCTTTCACAACTGTCAGTGAGAAAGAGAAGGCAGTTGGCTGATGACAGAATTGGAAAGAGTACCATACACTGTATGGACATCACGTGACGTCTTATGCACAGACTAAAGGGACTGGTCTGAAAATTCCCAATTGTTTTCTAAGTAAATGCTTCGATATTTTCCTTGCTAAATTTACCTTGTTAGGACACGTTATGTCCTGATGGGTAGCAAACTGCTGCAAGGAGAAATTTGTGATGTCCATATATGGAACTCTTTCTGTAGAATTATCAAGCAGAAGGGCCTAAGATTGACCAGTCACAGAAAAATTTAGCAATCACACATCCCTGTTGACTAACTGTGCCAAATGTGGCCATGTTATTGTTTCGCTCCTAACCAAGGCTTTATGCCCTCATAATGCATGTGCTTGTTGAGAATTTAAAGAGGAAAGAACTCCAAGCCTCTTGAACCCCTGTGCACAAACCTCATAAGACTGGCTTGTAAAAATCTAATTGCTTTCTTAGTGAATACCTCAATATTTTCACTACTAAATTTGACAATTTAGAACATTTACTGTTTCCAGATGTTTGATAGGTCCTGTGGAAAAATTATTGTCATCCATTTAATTAATCCTTTCCTGTACAGATCCTGGCAGCCCTAGATAATGGTCAAATATCCAGATTTGGGAGTTTTTGTATGATCTATCAGCTTATCCCAACCAGATTTATCAAGAACCTTACCTCCAATTTACAAGAAATTTGGCCATTGATTGCATTTCCACAGCACCCACAACATTCAATCAATGGTGGCCATGCTTAAAATGTTCTTTTGAGGTCTCGCATGGCAGGAGGTCTGATGCAATGACTGTTTCTTGTGAACCACAATGATTTGCCAATAGCCACACAATAAGTTGCACATCTGGCCAGCAGTGAGAACTTGCATACTCGATCTGTTGGTCATACTTTACAGGCTGCTGTGTGATTCACACCAGGTTCCAGTGAAGCAAAGGAGCAGTTTGGATTAGGCCTACATCCAAGACTTGTTGATAACAGTAATGATTTGTTTTAAGCCAATGCAGCCATTTTAAGAAGTAGAAAATAGATACGTACGACCAGATTACATGTATGTAGAAAATCATTTTAAAGCCATTTTTTAGGTTTGTCGTGAACCTTAATCAAGTTTATTTTCTGTTCAAATATTCTAGCCTCCTTTCAAGTTGAAAAGTCCACCAAAGGGCAATGACACTGGAGAGACGAAAGCAGAATATGATGCCAAAATGGTAAGAACTCTGAGGGACTAGTCAATTGTGAGGTCATATTGCAATTACTTGGCTGCTGCTCGAGATATACTCATGACTGGATGGGAACTGGCTGAAGCCACGACAGAAGACTCACAATTAATTGCACGCAGTAGCCATTACTGAAGACCCACCCTCCAATTGTAGGCTGGTTCAAAATAACTTCTCAATAAGTCTTGTCCATACAAGTGTGTTAGATTTCCCATGTGAAAATTTGGTGGCCCAGGTTGAGTACATGTAATGAAATCAATCAGGCCCACCACATGCCCATTTGCGTCAGTCCAACTTCTTTACCAAAACAGCTGATTGGCCAGTCTGATTGGACTTAAATGCACTTTTTAAGGCCAAAAAATAGTTCTGCTTCTGGATACGTGACTGATCCTAACTTTTTGGCGTGACCATAAAATTCATATTGGTAAGTTAGAAAAACACATTTAAAAATTAGAAAGGACAAAAAGATCTTATCTTTCCTGTCTTCACAAAATACCTCTCAACAATTTTTTCACATCTAAAAGCTTGTATTTTTGTTTGCCTGCTTACATTCACAACATTTGGAAAGAAAGTTCCATTATTTTCACAAGTTCCCTTCCCAATTTGCTATTGCTGTGGTGAAAATACACACACAGTATTTCTCGATGTATAGAAGCAAGTCTTCACTGGTTCCTGCTGTGTCGTGCCACTGCCAAAGAAGACATGATGTTAATGTGGCAACTATCCATGCATCCCAGTTAAAATAGCATTGCACAATCACCGTATACACACGCAACTCTACAGCTGCACCGCGACATCGCTGAAACCATGCTGAAACGAAGAATGCGACCCACAGCATCAGAAAGTTCATGTCTTCTGAAGATTTAAGCATGATTAGAGCAGCGACCCTTTGGACAGATTACGTTTTTCAGCACAATCTGCCATTCGTGTCGTCAGATGATTTCACAGACATAGTAGAGACGATGTTTCCAGAGAGCAAAATTGCATCCCAGTTTGCTTGTTGTAGAAAAAGTACACATTTTGGAACCTCCTAAGACACTTTTGCGATTCTAAAGGTTGGCAGGTCTGTCAGTACTCAGGACATTCGCACGTGTATGGGCTGTATGCACGTCCGTGCAATGAACAGAATGTCGTCCCGCGTGCTACTTGTATATGTGGCACACGAGCCCGGCGCATTATAGCCTGCAATCAGGGCTGCGTGGACTATGCAATTATACCATGGACTCGAAAGTGCTGCGCCAGTGATTTGAAACACCAGTCGTAAAATGTGGTGAAAGTTTTGAAAATGTGGCACTGTTCCTCAAATGACCACTGTCCCGCCGGGCCATCTTTTTGGAGAATGCAGTAGCCCGATGAATTTCTCTGTGGCCCTGGGCCGGCAGACCACTGTGAATTTCGACCCCTGCTGTATGTAGCTGATACTCAAACTTTGCTGGGAAAATACCCTAAACTTGGTTTGCATTTTACATCTTCAACGTGCAAGTTGCATCTGTGACATGATTTGCAGACTAAGCCACAGATTCAAGTGACAACTCTTGTGCTTTCCCCAAAGGCCAAGGACCGTGCCACCAGGTTTGGATTCCTTCTCCAGCAGACAGAGATCTTCACTCATTTCATGAGTACTACTAGCAGTGTGAAGTCTCCAACAAGCCCACTCAAACTGAAACCTGGGAGACCTCGCACCAAGAAAGATGAAAAAGCCAAACTCTCCTCAGTTGGAGAGTGAGTCATTATTACACTTGGTTCATTTTCAGTGTCTGCCTTTTTAAAAAATAGTAGTACAGTCTTGTTTCTTTAATAAAGTCGTTTTGTGAACAAGGAACAGGGAGGGAAAGGAGACTCGGAATGATATTGTAAATCCAAGCCGAGGTTCATATTTAAAATCCCATGTTGAGATTGAAATTGAGATATAAGAACCTGTTTGGCTTTGTGTTCAAGAAGAGATCAGTTGAACAATCAATATGTCACTGGTTCCCTACAGCCACCGCCACCGTATGACTGAGCAGGAAGAAGATGAGGAGCTGTTGATGGAGTCTCGCAAGGCTACCAGCGTTATTACTCAGTTTGAGAAGTCGCCATCATACATCAAGAATGGAGAGATGCGTGATTACCAGATCCGAGGCCTCAACTGGATGATTTCCCTTTATGAACATGGCATTAATGGCATATTGGCAGATGAAATGGTTTGTTGCACTAAATCATAAAAATAATGTCTTACACATTTTATGCATAACTGAATTAAAAAGCCTTGATATATGTCAGTGTTACCCTTTTAAAGTGTTTGCCCCCGCCCACTTGGCTACAGATTATCTTGTGTATTTTTTTCCCCTAATCTATTCTCACAGTTGTGGAATGGACTAAACCTCTGAAATCCTTAATCCTTATGTTATTTGAAGGAAACTTTGAGCATTCTTCCTGCCCTTTGCCTGCAGGGTCTTGGTAAGACTCTTCAGACCATCTCTCTCCTGGGTTACATGAAGCATTACCGTAACATCCCCAGCCCTCATCTGATCATCTGTCCCAAGTCCACATTAGCCAATTGGATGGCAGAGATAGAACGCTGGTGTCCATCACTACGAGGGGTGTGCCTCATAGGAGATCAGAATACGAGGGTGAGTAGGATGTAAGAAACCAGGCAAGAAAAAGCATCAAAAGCATGACTATCACTTCTTAATTGAAGTTACCACTTGAAAAAAATTGAAAGATGATTATCTTTTCCACCTTCAGGCAGCAATTATACGAGATGTCATGATGCCAGGAGAGTGGGATGTTTGCATCACTTCCTATGAGATGGCAATCAGGGAGAAATCTGTCTTTAAGAAGTTCAACTGGCGTTATTTAGTCATTGATGAGGCGCACCGCATCAAGAATGAAAAGTCAAAGGTATGGCAGCATTAAGCTTTAGCAAAATATAACTTTAGAAAATGAAAGTGACTGAAAGCGTCAGTAGAACAAATAAAAAGAAATTCTGTAATGATAATGTTTAAATTGTTCGCTAATAATAACGTTTGTGTGAAATTCATGAAAACATAAGACAGCTTAGCCATTCCTTTTGATCGAGAGCCATATACTTGGCTGGTCTTCAACAGGTGATTAAGCACCAGCTGACTGTCTACCACCTCGTGGAGTAAGCACCAGGTGGACCAATCCCCACATAAGGAAATTTTTATGACTGCTTGCAGGAGAAACATACCATAACATGGCTAGAGGTTTTTTCTTTTAATGAAGCAAAATTGTTAAACAAAAACATTGGACATAATTGAGGTTTAAACTTGTTATATCTTTTTCACCACAAAGGTATTTATGAATGGGAATAATAAGATGCTTGACCGGTTAACATTGTAGACCTGCTCAGGAGAATGAACGCTGACAATACCTGAACCGTTGGTCACCAAGCTAAAACTGTTGGTCACCTTGCTAAAAGCGTTGTTATGGAATACTAGCTTTTGTTCTAGAAGTATGTTTTTTACAGTTGGCAGTAGTATATTTGATACGAACTTTCTTGGTTCTGTGTTTGATAGCTTTCAGAGATTGTGCGTGAGTTCAAGACAACAAACCGTCTGCTACTGACTGGTACCCCGCTTCAGAACAACCTGCATGAGTTGTGGTCACTTTTGAACTTTCTACTCCCTGATGTCTTCAATTCTTCGGAGGACTTTGATGCCTGGTTCTCAACAGAGGGTTGTCTGGATACTGACAATACCCATTTGGTGTCTCGCTTACATGCGGTAAGTATGGACAGAAACCTCAGCTAATGAAGCCTTGTGATAAAGTACCTTGGGAACTGAAACATGGGCAAAAGACATTTAATGTTAACTGATGACACATGAGAGAATCACAGGGCATGTATCAAATTTCTGATTAATCTGCGTGCGCTATTTTCTGAACCATTTACCATAATCACCCTTGAGAAATTCAGTTTCAGTGTGGATGCTGAGCACCTTCACTTAGCAATAGCTTTTTTTCTTTTCTTAAAACTGAAAGGTCGTAAACCAAGTGCATGGTACCCATACTGCAGAAGTCTTGCATATTACTTTTATGCTTCGAAGCTTACAGTGTTTGAGTTCTGTTAGAAGAGTGATCCCATTGTGCAACAATGATAGAAATTTAGTATGTGCTCGCTCTTATGTTTCATGGCCTGTCTTTTCCCTTCCAGGTTCTGCGGCCATTTTTGTTGAGACGTCTGAAGTCAGATGTAGAGAGAGGCCTACTACCCAAGAAAGAAACCAAGATCTATGTCGGTCTGAGCAAGATGCAGCGAGAATGGTAGGAACTTCTTAACCTAACTCCTTAGGCATTTCTCGCTCCTCCTTGATGTAGGAAACTGGTGGCGCATTCTCTGCACTCACCTCTCAAGGAGCATCAAGCCCCAAGTGAAGTAGGGGTTTGCCTGTCAGGAGCCAAGTGTGTATGAAAAGAGCCAGTTTTCAGTGCAAGAACAGGCCAGTTTAAAGCAGAGTTGATTTTATGACTTCGTATCTGGCGTATCTCAATCAGTAGCCAGGGGTCGACATTAACCCTTTAATGACGGGATTTTTTTTCCGAAAGCCGACTCCAAGAATTCCGCCCTCGCTTGGCCACGAAGGCCACCTGCCAAACTGCAAATTCTCGGTTTGTGGCCCTGCGTGCTCTGCACACTTTGAATTTCACAGTGAAAAGGCTCATTGTTCGGTGGCATGCGGCTTTACTCGCGCTTCCGCATTCCCGTTGCCTCTTTTCAAAGTGGGGACTATTGTGAAGCTGGTGATTATGATGCAAATTCAGTCTTTTCATTTCTGGGCTACACACAAAGGCCAATCTCCATGTATACAAGAGCCAGGGTCTGCCTTCTTTCACCTTGTTCGCTTGAGCGTGGGCCTAGAATAATAGCTGAAAAGAGGGCCGAGGATCTCAATTTTTATGGCGGCTCTTACCATCTCTCGATGCGAAGGGGCTAAGCGACTGGCGCTTTTGCATCTGACAAACCATGATTAGCACCCAGTAATCTGTAATAAAGCGAGAGGTCAGGCACTGAAATTAATGCCAGGCTGTTACTGATCCTCTTTGAGGTGATGACACACTTTATTCCAAAGAAATCATCAAAATATTTACCGTGGTGAGGGTAGGTTTCACAACCTTTTCTCATGTTAAAATGCCTGATTTTATGTTTTCCTATTTACATTTGCAATTTTTGTAAGAAACAGCTGTTTTTTCTTTCAATCCTGTCTTTGTGTATCCTTAGGTACACGAAAATTCTAATGAAGGATATTGATGTTGTCAACGGGGCAGGCAAGATAGAGAAAGTTCGTTTAATGAATATTCTGATGCACCTGCGTAAATGCTGCAACCACCCTTACCTGTTTGATGGTGCTGAACCTGGCCCTCCATTCACCACTGATAAGCATCTGGTAGACAATGCAGGCAAACTGGTGGTCCTTGACAAACTCCTGGGTAAACTTAAAGAAGATGGTGAGTTTGAATACAAATAGAAGTAGGAGGTTTTATCTTGAGTTTGGTCAAAGGCTTTCAGAGTTCTGATACAAGCTAATGTTACGGGACACACCCAGAACTTATCATTTTAGAAGTCAATTAAAAGCTCTCTTGACCCTTTCTGGAACCTTTCACAGTCACTTGTAGCCTGATCAAGATTGCATTAGTTGACGTTGCGCTTGACCTTTCTTCAATTTAATTTCTTCCTCTTGTTTGTTTTCAGGCTCGCGAGTCCTCATCTTCAGCCAAATGACTCGTGTCTTGGACATCTTGGAGGATTATTGCACCTGGCGAGGTCACAGTTACTGCCGATTGGATGGACAAACCCCCCACGAGGACAGACAGGTCAGCATAGTGCTCTCTTAAGTTATTAGATATGTAAGATAAGGCTTTGCATCAAGTTATAGTTATGTTTGTATTATAATATGGTCTAAAAAATGTATGTAATATTTATTGACAATATGTGCCTTAGTTAAAGTTCCAGTAACTAAACAGACTCCAATAGTTTTTTACTTCAGTTAACTTGCTTTCTCAATTTTCAGAGGAGCATTAATAATTTCAACATGCCGGGTAGTGACAAATTTGTCTTCATGCTAAGCACAAGGGCCGGTGGTCTGGGTATCAACTTAGCTACTGCTGACATAGTTGTCCTGTATGACAGTGATTGGAATCCTCAGGTGGATCTTCAGGCTATGGTGAGTTGCTTCTGGCAAAACTCAGAGGGAAAAAAGAGAAGTTGAGGAAACTCAGTATCATCCTAGTGAAAGGCCAGTACTAAAATGTTCTGAAAAAGTATTTGAAGATGGGACTGTTGAGAGGGTTTGGAACCTTTGAAATATTATTGTAGTTTTGGCTTATTTTGTAATAACATTTCTGTTGCCTTAACAGTCATTGTGTGGTGATAGTACTGAATTTCTCAAGGTTTATATCCTGTCAATACCAGTGATTTTCTCCCTGTGCTGAATCCAGTTGTCACTTAATAGCTGTACGCAAATCCAAGCACGTGAGTGAGTTTGTCCTTAGGAAACTGCATATTGCAGTGAGACTGTCAAATTGAACAGTGTCTTTCACCCCTAAATGTTATCAAGGCACCTCCCCTACTCCACCCCTCCACAAAAATCTAGTGTCTCTGGCCAAAAAGTGCACATACGGGGCTCGTTGTCACACCAAAATGTGTCACTCAAGATTAGCACATTAATGTCCGTTGATAATTCCATCAATGTAGGATCGCGCTCATCGTATTGGACAGAAAAAGCAGGTCCGTGTCTTCCGTTTAATCACTGAGAACACCGTGGAGGAGCGCATTGTGGAGAGGGCTGAGATGAAATTACGACTTGACAATATTGTCATTCAGGCAGGTGAGTATTTCCAGAGAAACACTATAAAGAATATATGGTCGTCTTGGCCCTTTCTTGACGTGATGGTTGTTTTTTGTTTATTGAATCAATACTAAGTAAAGCATAGCAAAAATATCTGTTTGCTCTGCTTTGTGTTTTAGTTTAACTAAGGCTATTAACCTGTAGCCATTTTGACTTGGAAGATTTAAGTCAGCCCAGCTCAACACGTTATATTTTTCACCCTCTAGTAAGCTATTACCATGAATTAAAATATGCAGTATCTAGGTTGGTACCAGTGTAGTTGGGTATTTGTAGAAGGTACGGCACCTCTTGAAAAATTAGTGGGGCTGCACCTGATCACTTGAGGTTAAATGAGGTATGCTGCCTCATTAGTGTGGGGAGTAGTTACCATTGTATGGTGTTAGTCAATAAGATTTATGATGACAAAAAACATGCATTAAATGTACTTGAGCACTTTCTATGGGAACAGTTCGCAAGATGATCAGGTCTGCCTTTTGATCAGAAGCTAATGCCACTTTTGTAACCTGAAGTGTGATAAAATCTTTTCACCTAACAGGTCGTCTGGTGGATCAGAACGTGAAGGTAAATAAGGATGAAGCTCTTGCTATGATCCGATATGGAGCTAACTTCATCTTCTCCTCCAAGGATTCTACTGTCACAGATGAGGATATTGATGGCATCTTGGAGAGAGGTGCTAAAAAGGTACTGCCAGTCTACTATTCCAAAACAAATTATTTTAACACAAAGTCAACACAAATTACTTAGTTAAGTCTTTCTTTTTTAAGAGAGTTGTGAGTCTTTTTCTTTAGAATAGACTTGATAACATCATGTGCGTGCATAGTGTTTATGTTGTCAACTCTGAAATGCAAAATGTGAGCAACGGCACCGACAAAATTAGAAAGTTTGCTTTATTTTCACAAACAGACAGAAGAGATGAAGAAGAAATTGGAGAAGTTGGGCGAGTCAGCTTTGGGCAACTTTACCCTGGACACCAACGAAAGCATCTACTCCTTTGAGGGTCAAGACTTCCGAGAGAAACAGAAAAACACGAGCATCAACTGGATTGAGCCACCAAAGAGAGAACGCAAGGCAAACTACGCTGTAGATGCATACTTCAGGGAAGCACTGAGAGTCAGTGAGCCCAAAGCACCAAAGGTGTGTGTCCAAATGCATAAGTAACAAGGTCATTACAGACTAAAGGGTGCAGTGAGGTGGTTACCCCGGTTTCCTTGAAACATAACACTGAAGAATACTGTTTTGGGCAAGCTGCGAAGCAAGTGCCAGCCTATGTTTTACCGATTACTGTCTTCTGTCGTCCGGCCGGCTGGCCGGCCGTTCTCAAATATTAAAGTTTTTCCTTGTAGGTCCATAGGTGTTAAAATGTGCCATTGAGTGCTTGTTTGCTTCTTCTTGAAACTCCATCAGTATTTAAATAGTCTCATATGGAATTAATACTTAGCAACTTATGAATTTAATGAAAAAATTATAAAAGTTCAATGTTAACGTTTTGAGTTGTATTGTGTACTTACCCTGTAATACATAAAGTACATATGTACTGAGCACTCCTGTAATGTACATGTGTGTATGGAAAGACAGTGTTTAGACACATAAAAATGTACATGTGCAGTATGTGGGAAAAATGTAAGGGATGGCGGGTGGGGACTCCAAGTGACAGGATGTTTGTTGGGGG